GAGAGAGAGAGAGAGAGAGAGAGGAGGCCAATTTGAATTTTTGGGAAAATGAGTTGGAGTGGTTTTGCAATAAATTTAATTTGGGGCCCCAATTTCAACAGGGAATGAAATTGAATTTGAAAATTGAAGACATCTTGAGTTTCAATTGTTCATGGTTTGCTGAGATTGTTTGTGGATGTTTATCTGGCTTGTAGTCGGCATTCATATCATTTAGAGAGAGGCTTTTGTTTGTAATTAATGAAGGGGCCTGATGTATTGCACGATTTATAGGCATTAAATTTGTTGAGTCCTTTGTTTTCCGTTTCTTGTCATGGATACCCTCATGCCTGCATATAATCTGGACATGCCTGTGATAGAGGTTATGTTGTTTTCCTATGTGTCTCACATAGATACCCCCTTCATTTGGTATATTTTGATTTCTAGTGTATCTCACACCAATACATGATGCATTTCCAAACATGTGTGCATTGAGGCACTCTAACTTGGATGTGCATGCTACTTTGCTGTTTGGTTCTCTTCTAAATTCCATGTCACATGTGTTCTTTTATTGCTCCTTCCTCCTCTTATGTTGTCACCAAACATTATATCATATGTATGCAATCTGCATTATTTTTGCACATGTTTTTATGGTATCAGAAAGATATGGCATCCATTTTCAAGTATACTCTTGTTTGCTAATGTTGCCCTTTCAGCATATGGTATTTTGTTTTGTTTTCCTGCAACTCTGTTCTGTTTTTGAGTTCTGCATGTTTGTAGCTCTAGTTTCATGCTAATTCATAATTTGTAAATTTAAGGAGCAAAATTCAACTTTTTCTCTGCAGATTCATTGCAACATGATTTAGTATTGTAAATTTAAGAAGCAAAATTCCACTTTTTTTCTACAGCTTCATTGCAACATGATTTAGTATTTTATCTTTCCAGGAAGGAAAAGAGAAACAGGCCATTCCTGTTGTACAATTGAATGTAATACGCTTGCTGGCTGATTTAAGTGTTTCTGTTAACAAGTCGGAGGTCATAGACATGGTGTTGCCTCTGTTCATAGAAAGCTTAGAAGAGGGTGATGCTTCGGCACCTAGTTTATTGCGTCTCAGAGTATGACTATGTTATGTTCCATTGAATTTCTGGTTCTTTATCTTTTACCTTTCGAATGGCATCTCCTTTGACTTTGTAGTTGATACTTAAATGGAGACAGATGCGTGAAATAAATTTGTGGAAATATTGCAGCTTCTTGATGCAGTGTCCCGCATGGCAAGTTTAGGTCATGGGAAATCCTATCATGAGATAGTGATTTTATTGACACGGAATTATCTGGATAAACTTTCTTATGTTGGATCTGTTGAAAGCAAAACATTGGTTCCAGAGGTCACAACAGAACGTGTAGAGGTTTGCATCTTTGTTTAGTAGTACATGGTTGAAGTTTGTGTGTGAAGAAATATTTGGTTTTCTTATAAAAGATATTTAGTTCTCCTATAATGATTTGCTAATTGATTCGACTACATTCTAGACTCTTCCTGCAGGATTTCTTTCAATTGCTAGTGGTCTCACTGACTCCAAATTGAGATCTGATTATCGTCACCGGTTACTAGTTTTGTGCTCTGATGTAGGGCTAGCTGCTGAATCAAAAAGTGGGAGGTAAGTTTCTACAGTGATATGATAAACACTTTCTTTTCCTTGGGCTTCTTGTTTACTCCATTCTTGAAAGTCAGTGCTGTCTTTTCTTCATCCTTTTTTTTCCCTGAAAATGTTCCCAAATGATTATTCTTCATAATGTGTATTTGCTCTTTTTTGCTGTTCTGCTTTTGATGTCCTATTTTTTATCAATACAGGAGTGGTGCCGATCTTTTAGGTCCTCTTCTTCCTGCAGTTGCAGAAATTTGTTCTGATTATGATCCTACCCAAGAAGTAGAGCCAACACATTTGAAGCTCTTCCGCAATCTGTGGTTCTACATTGTGCTGTTTGGGTTGGCACCTCCAATTCAAAATAGCCAATCACCAACAAAATCAATCTCCACCTCACTGACTAGTTTGGGAAGCCTTAGTGCAATGGCACTTCAAGCTGTTGGTGGACCTTACATGTGGAATGCACAGTGGTCAGTGGCTGTTCAACGCATTGCTCAAGGAACGCCACCCCTTGTAAGATTAAGTTTTAATGTATGATTGAACAGGTTTTATTTATTTCTCTAAAGATTTCTCATGTTAATGAATCTCATGTGGCTGCATTTCTTGTTTAATTGAAGCTTCATGTCCATAGCATGTTTCTTCAATTGCTGCCATGTGAAGTTTTTCAATCTGCATTTTATGACGTGGGGACTTAGTGCTCCATAGTTTTTCTATGCCTTTCTAAAATTACTATTGTTGAAGCATGGGCACTTCATATATATGCTAGTTATATGGGTGAGCTTCTTAAGGGTAGCTTGGCACTAACTGAAGTCTAATATGGTGGAATGTCTTGGCTTGGTAACTGAGTTGGAAATTGTGGTTCCTAATAGTCTCAATTAGACACTATCTGTACCAGTATGAATGATAGAACTGGATTTATTAGATTGTCTGTTGATGTATTCTCTTAGCAAACTACAGGAAAGAAGTAATTTTCCCCCCTTGTGAATTTCTTACTACAAACATAATACAGGTTGTTAGCTCTGTGAAATGGCTTGAAGATGAGTTGGAACTTAATGCCCTTCACAACCCTGGAAGTCGTAGAGGTAGTGGCAATGAGAAAGCTGCTGTAGCTCAAAGAGTTGCTCTTTCTGCAGCTCTAGGTGGTCGAGTGGAGATTTCCGCAATGAGCACCATTTCAGGTCAAATGAAATTTCTTGTTTGAGTTCCAATGAACTATTTTTTCCCCTTTGATGTTCTTTTTTATTTTTCAAGGTTTCTTAGCTGGCACTTTTCCTGATTTATTTTGTAATATTAGCTATATTTGCTCCTCTTAAAGTTGCATATGTTTTGGCAGGCGTGAAGGCCACCTATCTCCTTGCTGTGGCCTTTCTAGAAATTATACGTTTTAGCTGCAATGGTGGCATCCTTAATGACAAATCTAATCAAAATGCATCTAGGAGTGCCTTCAGTTGTGTTTTTGAGTACCTTGAGGTTCCAAATTTAGCACCAGCCGTCCTCCATTGCTTGACAGCAATTGTACATCGGGCTTTTGAAACAGCACTGGCCTGGCTGGTAATCTCTTCTTTGCTCTGTTGGAATCATGTGGACTGGAAGATATATTAGGATTTATCTTGAAAAATGCCCAAATGTTGACTATAATGGTAATTTCTGGGCATGTTGTGGCATGTTGTATAAATTTCATTTGAACTTCGAAATTCTGGCAATCAAAGGTCGCTAAAATTTATTAGCCTTTTAAGGCATACTTTTCTGTTGGCATTTGATATGACTATCTTATAAGCATAAGTTCTTATCTCTTTCTCTATCTATATTCTTTTTGGCAACTGAATTGAAAGCACTGTGTAATTTTTTTTTACAATTGCTATGCATCTATGGGGTGGGGTACTTAACTACTTAATAGAAAACCTAAAAAGCTAAGGGAATAGTTGACATTCTGAACTAGCGATGTTTTCTTAGAATGAGAATATTAAAGTCATTGAGAGAGCAAAGTCCAGTGTGGCACATACTGGTCTCTCCACAGATTAACATGGATTCACTAAACTATTAGGAATCACTTGCCTCCACATAGACATGGAATACCAGACAAGTTGACAAGGAATATTGACATTTTGAAGGGAAACTACCTTATGTTCTCTTTCTTTTGATCGAAATTATCTATATTTTCCAAGTGGCTACGGGGTTCAAAGTCAACATTGAACAATTGAAAATGATGGGGGTGGCACTCGCCAACGCTGAGATCAGAGAGCTTATCCCTAATTGGGAGTGCAAAGTTGAGGATCTACTCACAACCTACCTTGGTTTGCCTTTGGATTGGGAAAACCCAAAAAGAGACAATGGTCTCATGTAATAGACAAGGTCGATAGGCGTCTGGCAGGATGGAAAGGGAGATACCTTTCTCAGGCTGGTCGCTCCATGATCAAAGCAACCTTGGCAAATACTGCTGTAGACCTCAGGTCTCTGTTCCATATGCCAACATCAATGGCCAACCACCTAGAACAATTTATGAGGAATTGTTTTTGGTCGGGACAGGCAGAGTAAACAAAATACCATTTAATCTCCTGGGACAAAGTTTACTTACCCAAACACCAGGGAGGGCTAGGGATAAGGACCCTAAGGAAACATAACTTGGCCTTTTTAGGGAAATGGTGGTGGCGCCTAGCCACCCAGACTGATTCACTCTAGGCTCAGGTCCTACACAACAAGTATAGGATTTCAGAAGGTACCTGGTTGCCTGAGAGGATCTCTCAGAGCAGGGCCTCAGGATTGTGGAAGTCGCTCACCTCCTCCTCTCTTTGTTCAAAAAATTCATCAGGTTTCATCCAAGGGAAGGTACAAAAGTACGATTCTGGTAAGATCTTTGTCTAGGACACACTCCACTAAGGTACCTCTTTCCATCCCTCTACTCTTTAGCCACAAACAAAGATTCCACCATCGCGGAGGAAATGGTGCTAGCAGGAGGCCGAAGAGTGTGGAACCCTTCGTTTAGAAGAAACCTCTCTGAAGAGGCTCAACAACTTTGCATCGCATTTTCATCTCACTACAAGGGAGGGACTCGATGGTATGGTCTCCTACCGCCTCTATTACCTTCTTAGTGACCTCTTTTTTCAAAAGAATTACCCAACCCCCCACCTTCCCTCTTAACGCAACCTCTGTCCTATCCAAGGTCTGGTCCACTGTAGCCCCTCCCAAAGTGCAGACTTTCAACTGGATAGCGTGCTCCGAAAGGGTACTCACAGTTGACCAACTTGAAAAGAAAGGGGTTCCCATCCCTAATAGATGGGCCATGTGCTTGAAGACGAGGAATCAAATCCTCACGTCTTCATTCGCTGTCGGCTAGCCCGCAACCTCTGGGGTCAAATATTTCAGCTCTTTGGCTTTCAATGGGTTACACCTCCGACAGTCAAGGACCTTGTATCCTCGGACATTGGCCGAATGTTGGACGTATCTTATGGAAGGCTACCGTGGCAGCCGCCATATGGGTGATCTGGGTAGAAAGAAACGCCAGGATATTCCATGGCCATAATATCCAAGGCTCAACACTTTTTCACAAGGTTATGTCCTTAGTAACTTTCTAGGCCTCCAACCACAGAATCTTTTCCGGTGTTTCTGCGAACACTTTCCTCAGCTAATGGAAAAACATCTTGTACCACCAACAATGAAAGGTACGGAGAACATACAACTGCAGCCACCTCCAGAAGGTACCATCAAGCTCAATTTTAATGGTTGTTCTCTGGGAAACCCCGGCCCCGCGGCCCCGCAGTTGCTGGTGGCGTCTTCAGAGACCATCATTGTAATATTCTGTTCACCTACTTCGAGTATCTAGGTCACGAAGACTCTCAGTATGCCGAAGCCATGGCCTCACTGTTAGGCCTCAAAAGCTTCAATCAGTATTGGGGACAACACCTTTTAGTGGAGCGAGACACACATAATATTTTGTCATGGGCAGCCGGGAGGTCCACTTCTCCATGGTACCTTGCTTCGATCTTTGATGAGATTGATCAGATTTGCAAGGATATATCTAGAGGACGTCAAACGAGTTCACCGATCTTCTGGTGAAGGACGAGGCTAGGGCCCAAGTAGAAGACCATACCCGGTCCATCTCCTTTTTTGCTCTAGACCACAGAGGGTACACGGACTAGAACATCTCTTTGTAAACGGGCAAATCTATAAGCCCATTTTTGTAACCCCACTGTAAATCTATTGTGTTTGGGCAGACCTATAGACCTATAAGCTCTTTCTTGTACAGGGTCTGACGACCTATTTTTTACCGAGAGACCCGTCTAGTGGGTACTCTCGGCTTACCACACAGATGTACTCCAAACTCTTCATATCAATACAATAGTTAACCTTTCTCAAAAAATAAAATAAACATGTTAACATTAAAAATAAAACTTTTTTTTAAGTAAGGGTGTGGTTTGCACAAGTTTGCAACCTTAAACAATCAAAGGAAGGCACCCCTCCAAAATTTATAATAGAATGTAACTTTGGTGTTAAAATCTCTTAGGATGACCTAAGAATCTATTTTTGTCTCTAATTATAAAATTGGAAACTCAAAAAATGGTTCAAATCAAGTAGATCTATAAATTCATGAAAATCTTGAAAATGGAACGTTCAGATAATGATATATAAATACATGAAAATCTTGATAATGGAAAGTTTAGATAATGTGTTGCAAGATGCATTATTTTTGGCACTCAAAATCTTATTTATTTTATTTCAATACATTTCGATGTCGAGATGATAAATTAGAGCAGGGTCTAACATGGACAACCTTTTTTTGATGGATTTTTGGAGTGCACCTTAATTCTACAATTTAAGGTTGCAACCTTATGTGAACTTTTCCTTTAAGTAAAAGGTAAATTACATGTTTCTGTACTCTAGACAAGACAGGTCAGTTTATGGTTCTGTCTCTAGAAAGAAGATGGGTTATTTCTTACAGCAAGAGAAAATTTAAGAAAATTGTTAGTCTCAACGCCTGTGCTATGCTGAGAGTGTAACAAAATTCAGGCAACAACATCTCCTTGGCTTGAGTATCTGCCTGTAGCATTAGCCTCTCTCCAACCAAGCTGGAAGGAGACCATAAGTGAACTAGTGATGTCACAGATTTGGTCAAACATGGGTACAAGTCTCTAAGGGCATGGAGTGGACTTGGAAACTCAGGCAATGGCGTGCGTGGAATTTCCCTCTAGAATTAAAAGGTTGCCCCAACCAGGGTTGGACACCTTGATGTCTTGAAATAATGCAAGTGCTTCTGCAACAGTGGAGTTCATGGTTCTGGTAGGGCCTGAAAAGATAAGAGGGTCAATGCCAGCAGGCCTTTGATAGCCTAGGGAGCAGCCATCAAAGTTCAGTCTTATGAGTTCCACTTCTTGGGGGATTCAGTGACTCGATCTTGAGAGCCTGGTTTGAAAAATTTGGTTCCAATGAAGCTCAAAATCTGCATGTGACCAACTGCGAAAATGCTTTTGCTGTTGGCCCCAGAAGATTACCAGTGAGATATTATGATCTTTGATTATGTGTACGTCAGAGACTCTACCTTCAAATACCTAGCAATGTGCTCCAGCCAAAGTGTAGCCCTCTAAAGGAACACATCCACGGAAGTGAATGGTGGAATGAGTACCCTGCAAACAGCTGCTGAACGTATGAATTGTTTATAGAAGAGCACAGCCCTGACCAAATTGACAAAGGATGGAGGCCCAAATGATGGCTGAATCGGGGCATTGGAGAGAAAGGTGGTCACTGATTTTCTCCTCCTTGCACATTATGCATCGGTTAGCATGGGGATGCCACCTAAGGTTGTCTTTGAAAACTACCAATTCTTCTATCAACTGGGAAAAGAAGAAATAAAGCTGCAAATTTATTTAAGTTTGATACATAGGAGACCAATTGATCTCAAAAGTAGGGACCTTATTTTCACAAATCTCATACTTGGTTGGATTTTCCACTCTCAATGCTTATGGCTTTTGGTATTCTTAAGTGGTTTCTTGAGAAAAATTGTTTCCTTGTTACTTGAGTTCCTGTTTTGACTCATGTAGATACTCTAATAGGTGTTTCATGTAAGTGAAAAATATACTGAAAACTCACTTGGAAGTGACAAAATCTTGCTGTTCTTGAGACTCACAAACACGCTATGGAATCTCTAATTTCTTTTGGCTTGTTGTCCAGGCATTACTGCCAAATATTTTGCCATTAATGGGCCTTAATGCCCTTTCCATAGTTCATGACATAACTTAGAGCTAAATTGAAGTTCCTTGTTACTAATAAGACTCCTAAGGTAAGATTTAAAGAAGATCACTTTGTAGGATAAATGGCTTTTTTAGTACTGCTATCCCACTTCTTTGATGTAGGAAACATGTTCTCAGGTGGCATTTCCATTCACAAACTAGTGTTGCCATGGAGATATCTACACACCTAGTGGCAAATTATCTCATGGTCTTCTCTCACATTTGCTCCTATGGGTACTTGGCATTTTTTGCATCTAACCACTTACATAAGTAAACAACTGACCTTGGAGATTGGATTTATTGTCCTCTTTCCAATAAAAGTTTCTCATT